GGGGCCCGGGGGCCGGGGCCCCCGGGGGGCCCCCCGGGGGGCCCCCCGAGAGCCCCCAGGCGTAGAAAGCCAGCGAAAGGAGCGACAAAATGGAGAAAACGAAAGCCTGTCCGAAGATCATGGCGAGCCTGTTGGCAGCCTCGGGGTGGGCCTCGAGGAGGCCCCGAAGAGCAGCAGGAAGGGGCCAGAAAGGAGCAGCAAAGAGCAGCGCGAGAGCCACGGGAAGAGTGAAGAAAACGAAGGAAACGTCGAAGACGAGGCGGTGGAGGCGGCCGTAGCGCTCGACGAGGGCCTCCCAGAGGGGGGCCCCCAGGGCCCCCAGGGGGGCCCCCAGCAGGGGGGCCCCCAGCTGCTGCCCCAGGGTCTCCAAACCCCCGCAGTCCGCGTCCACTGCGTTGGCCACTGCCACGTGGGCCCCGTCGAGGAAGGCGAGGGCCCCGGCGAGGGGGAGGAAGAGTGTGGGGTTGTTGAGGTGTACGTACACCGCGAGCCAGGCCGCAGGCACCAACAGACCCCACACCAGACACCGCGCTGCAGTGGTGCTCAGCAGCAAAGTCTTCACGGAGGCCCTTTCTGCTGCTACGGAGGCCACCGGCGACAGCAGCAGCAGCGCGAGGTTGAAGGGGCCCCGCAGGGCCCCCACGCCCAGGGGGGCCCCCGCCAGAGAAGCAGCAAGGACTCCGAAAGAAGACCACCAGAGTGCTGCCTTCGCCACATTCGCCAACTGCCCATAAAGGTACCCCCGCAGCAGACTCTCCGAGGCCCTCAGGGCCTCTTCCTCGGGGGAGGGGCCCCCCGCGAAGACAGCCTGCGTCGCCGGCGACAGAAACGCCAGCGACTCGCTGCTGCTGCTGCTGCTGCTGCTGCTGCTGCTGCTGCTGCTGCTGCTGCTGCTGCTGCTGCTGCTGCCAGCCACCAGCGCCTCCGCAGCGCCCCCGGCGCTCTTCCCCTCCAGCAGCAGCTCCTCGCGCCGCCTCCCCTCACCCCGAGACCCGCTCATCCTCCCGCGCCCTCCTGCTGCTGCTGCCGCTGCTGCTGCTGCTGCTGCTGCTGCTGCTGCTGCGCTCGCAAACGGCGCACGGACCCCGCACGGGATGAGCCGCGCCACAGAGCCTCTCCCAAAGCCCTAAGTGCTGCAAAGCAAGGCGGCCCCACCCCCAGGCACAAGACGGAGCATCCTGTTCCGGCTGCCGCTGCTGCTGCCGCCGCCGCTGCTGCTGCTGCTGCTGCCGCTGCTGCTGCTGCTCGGCGCAGCCCCGTTAAGCTCAAAACTGAACTCCGCAGCGAAGGCGGCGCCCGCAGGAACTCGAAATGAACTGCGAAGGAAGCGGGAGAGCGCGGGCGGAGCTCTGGGCTGGGGTGTACGGACTGGCGGCGCTGCCGCGGAGTTCTCCCGCCCTTCTGTGCACCTCTTGGAAGTATTTAATCAATTACAATGAAGAAAAAAGGATAAAAGAACAAAACAGCGCGAAAGACAGACCCTGGTGCTGCCTCCGCCGAGCCCGGCTGACTGCTGAGCCGCAGCTGCTGCGCTGGGTATGTGTGCCTATGCCCGAAGCAGCTGCAGCAGCAGCAGCAGCAGCAGCAGGAAAGCTTGCCTCTAAGACTATTTAAGCTAATAATGGCCCATAACAATGGCTTCTGCTTCCCAGGAAAAGAGGAGACACGGCGCCCCTCTCCGTTGACGGGGCTTACAGCTGCTGCTGGGGCCTCGGGCGTTTACGTGCCTCTGCTTCGTTCTTTATTCTTCTTTTTATTTGCTTTTTTAGCAGCACTTTGCTGCTCGCGAGGTCGTGCTGCCCCTAAGCCCCGCGCCAGCCAGGCTGCTTAGTCGCCCGCGGTGGCTTGCACGCTGCTGCTGCTGCTGCTGCTGCAGCAGCAGCTGCATCAACTCCTTTTTTTTCGTGTGTCTGTCTCCTGTTGCTGCAGTCTATTTGCTTCTCTTCTGTGCATTCTTTCGACTGTCTCCGCTGCCCGCTGTCTCCCTGCTGCAGCGGGCGAGGCCCCCTGGCCTCTCCAGTGTCTCTACCTGGACACTGAGCTTAGCAGCAGCAGCAGCAGCTGCTGCTGCTGCTGCTCTTCCCGAAGCGTGGCTCTGACTGCAGCAGCAGCAGCAGCGACAGCTGATGGGGGCCTAGCTGTCTCCTCTGTCGCGCCCAGCCATCCCTTGGGCTCCAAAGGGCGCCGCAGCAGCAGCTGCAGCAGCAGCCACCGCAGCAGCAGCAGCGGCTGCTGCTGCTGCTGCAGTTGAAAATGGGCGTGCCCGGGGAGAGCTCGCCCGCGGCTTCCGCCGCGTCGGCAGCTCCCACGAGCCCGCGCGCCGCCGCCCCCGCAGCAGCAGCAACAGCAGCAGCAGCAGCTTCTGCTGCTGCTGCTCCCGTGCTGCGGGTAAACCGCTTCGTGCTGCTGGCGCTGCTGTCCCTCTACTGCTTCCTCTCGGGCCCCGCGTACTTCAACTGGTCCCCCATAGCGGACTCTTTGTATGTGCAGGGGACCTACGAGTGGCTGTGCAGCGAGCAGCAGCAGCAGCAGCAGCAGCAGCAGCAGCAGCAGCAGCAGCAGCGCGCAGCAGCAGCAGCGCGGTACGCCCCCAAGTGCCCCGCGCAGGAGCTGGCCGTCAGCAAACTCTTCGGGATCGTCTCCTGCTCCCACTTTGTCTTTTCTTTCTTCGGAGGTTTGCTGCTGGACTCTGTGGGGCCGCGAGCAGCAGCAGCAGCAGGTTTGCTGGCAGCTCTGGGGGGCTGGCTGCTGCTGGCCTTGTCTTCTGCTGCAGCAAATGGCTTTGTTGCTGCTGCAGTGCTCATAGGGGCAGGGGTGGACAGCGCCTTTTTGCCGTGTCTCTCTGTGGCGCAGCTTTTCCCCAGCAGCAGCAGCAGCACCATTTCTGTCTTGGGCTGCTGCAGGGCTTTGTCCTTTTTGCTGCCGCTTGCTGTTCGTGCTGCAGTGGTGCAGCAGCAAGTTGCCACCTGCCGCCAGGCGCTGCTGCTCTACGCCTGCTGCTGCCTCATCTTTTGTCTCCTTGTTGCTGCTCTCTTCTTGCCCCCGAGGCCCTTCACTGGCCCGCAGCAGCAGAAGCAGCAGCAGCAGCAGCAGCAGCAGCAGCAGCAGCAGCAGCACGAGGGCTGGGTGGTGGAGGTGCAGCAGGAGAAACCGTCCCACGGGGACCGCCCCACGCTGAGCGCAGCGGAAACGGGAGAAAGCTGCGAACTTACAGCAGCAGCAGCAGCAGCAACAGCAGCAGCAACAGCAGCAGACTCTCCCCCCTTGCCGCTGCCAGCGCCCTCAGGCGCAGCAGCAGCACCCGCAGCAGCAGCAGCAGCAGCACTATCACCAGCACCCGCAGCAACACCAGCACCATCAGCAGAACCCGCAGCAGCAGCAGCAGCAGCAGCAGCGCCAGCAGCAACAGCCCCGGCGCCCGCAGCAACACCAGCACTATCAGCAGAACCCGCAGCAGCAGCAGCAGCAGCAGCAGCGCCAGCAGCAACAGCCCCGGGGCCCGCAGCAACACCAGCACCACCAGCAGAACCCGCAGCAGCAGCAGCAGCAGCAGCAGCAGCAGCGGGAGGGCCTAGCTTCTGGTCGGAGTGCTGCTCGAGTTTGTACTTGCCGCTGCTGCCTTACTTTTGCTTCACAGTGACGAACGCTGTGGGGTTTGCTGCTGCTGCGCTGCAGCTGCTGCCAGCAGCTTACGAGTTCAGCCAAGTTGCTATAACTCTGTCTTTTATTCCAAGTCCCCTTTTTGGGGTTTTGGCGGACCTTTGGGGGGTTTTGCCGGTGATGTTTGTGGTTAGCAGCTGCGGGCTGCTGAGTTACGTTTGCTGCTGCTTCCCGCTGCTGCCTGCTGCAGTGCTGCTGCCTGCTGCAGTGCTGCTGCAGCACGCGGCGCCGCTGCTGTTCGCGCTGCACTGCTCCTTCTTGATGAGCCAGCTCTATGCTTTTGCTGCAGCAAACTTCTCCCCCCAAAACTCCGGCAAACTTGTGGGGTTTGTGTCTGCTGCTGCTGGGCTTTTTTCCCTCGTGGGGGCCCCCCTCAGGGCCCTCGCGCTGCAGCACGGCTTCCTGCTGCTCTGCTACGTTGCTGTTGCTTTTGGCCTCGCCAACTACTTCATGCTGCTGCTGCTGCTGCTCGCTTCCAGGCGCAAGCGCCGCCGAGAGCGGCAGCAAGCCCTGCTGCTGCAGCAGCAGCAGCAGCAGCTGCTGCTGCTGCAGCAAAGCACGCAGCAGCCCGCTGCCGGCCCGGCCAGCAAGTGCCCACACCCCACGCACCTTGACGTCTAGAATGGGGGACAACTCGCTGCAGCAGCAGCAGCAGCAGCAGCAGCAGCAGCAGCGGGGGCGGCGGCAGGGCGGCGGCGTCAGCAGCAAGAGCTGCAGCAGTGGCCGCAGCAGCGGCAACAGCAGCGACAGCGGGGGCGCAAAAGCTCGAGGGAAGACACCAGATAGAGCAGCAGCTGGTGCTGCTGCTGCTGCTGCAGCAAGCAACAGCAGCAACAAGCAGCAGCAGCAGCAGCACGCCCGCAGGGACAGCAGATACAACGCAGTCTTATTTCCTGTGACAATGTGAAAGCACCCGCAGCAGAAAGTGGATATTTTGCCTGCTGCACCTGCTGCAGCGCAGCAGAAGAGGGTGCAGAGGCTGCTGCTGCAGCGACTGTGCTGCAGCGGCTGCTGCTGCAGCGGCTGCTGCTGCTGCGGTATTGTTTTTTAATGTGCACAGCAGTTTATTCCCGTGCAGTTGCATGGGAAGTTAGTCAAAAAGCAAGTGAGCCTCCACACGAGGCCACTGTGCAGCGGCTGCTGCTGCTGCTGCTGCTGCCGCTGCTGCGGCTGCTTCAGCACCAGCACCAAGCAGCAAACTGTGTTTTATAAGACAAGAGAAATCTCTTGTAGCCCTTTAGTAAAGGGTGCTTGTTGGCGTCCCTCTTCTGCTGCTGCTGTTGCTGCTGCTGTTGCTGCTGCTGCTGCTGCTGCTAGAGCACAGGCACTGTTGGGGTCTCGCTAGCTAGTGCGTAGAGCTGCTGCAGCTGCAGCGAGGGCTGCAGGGCAGTACCTTCGGTCAGCAGGAAGTGCAGCAGCAGCAGCAGCAGCAGCAGCAGCAGCAGCAGCAGGACAGGGTGGGAAGTGTGACGCAGTTAGAGCCAATTGTCGTTTTGGTTTGCCTTTTGGCAAAAGAGAAATGCCTCCTTTGAGGTGTACGTACACCCCAGGAGAAGAAAGCAAAAGAGAAATAGAACAGCAGCAGCAAGACGGAGACATATACTGCGCTCCTACAGCTTCTCCCTCTGGGCCAGTCGGGCCTTCAGCAGCAGCAGCAGCTGCTGCTGCTGCTCCTGCTGCTGCTGCTGCTGCTGACGCTGCTGCTGCACTGGAACTGGATGCTTCTGTGGCTGCTGCTGCTGCACTAGAACTGGACGTTTTTGTGGTTGCTGCTGCTCTCCTCACTTCAGTTGCTGCTGCTGCAGCGCCTCTTGGGTGTCTCGAGCGAACGCTGCGACTGCCGCTGCTGCGGCACGGCAGCTGCTGCCACTGCTGCTGCAGCAGCAGCTGCTGCTGCTGCTGCTGCTGGCTTCAGACTTTGGCGCCTGCCATGCGGAAGAGCTCCTTCGCCTTTTCGTGGCGGTCGAGAAGGCGCATGAAGCGCTGGCGAATGCGGGGGTCCTTGAGTTGTTCAGGTGTCTGTACACCGCGCACGCGCAAACCCTAAACCCTAAACCCTAAACCCTAAACCCTAAACCCTAAATTCCACTCGCCGTAGCTGCAGCAACTGCGCAGCAGCAGCTGGCTAAGCTGCAAATCTGTCTCGCAATTTGGCACTGCCGCGACAAAGGCAGTCTCGGCCAGATGAAGCACCACACGATGATTTGCTGCTGCTGCTGCTGTTGCTGCTGCTGCTGCTGCTGCTGCGACTTACTGCCATGAGTTTATTCACGTCGAGACCTTCCCTACGGCCATCGTCTACAAACTCGGCCCACCCAGGACACACTGACAAGTCGCTGCTGGCTTGCTGCTGCTGCATGAGCTGCTGCTGCTGCTGCGACATGGGTTGCTGCTGCATAGGCAGCTGCTGCTGCGGCTGCATAGGCTGCTGCTGCTGCATAAGCTGCTGCTGCTGCGAAGGCATAACCTGCTGCTGCTGCATAGGCAGCTGCTGTGGCATAGGCTGCTGATGGTGCATAGGCTGCTGCTGCATAGGCTGCTGCTGCTGCATGAGCTGCTGCTGCATAGGCTGCTGTATCGGTGGCTGGTGTTGTTGTATAGGCTGCTGTTGCATAGGCTGCTGTTGCATAGGCTGCTGCTGCTGCATAAACTGCTGCTGCTGCATAGGCTGCTGCTGCTGCATTGCCTGCTGCTGCTGCATAGGCTGCTGCTGCTGCATAGGCTGTTGCTGCTGCATAGGCTGCTGCTGCATAGGCTGCTGCTGCTGCATAGGCTGTTGCTGCTGCATAGGCTGTTGCTGCTGCACAGGCTGTTGCTGCATGGGCTGCTGCTGCTGCTGCTGCATAGGCTGATGCTGCTGCTGCATAGGCTGATGCTGCTGCTGCATGGGCTGCTGCTGCTGCAAGGGCTGCGGCTGCAAGGGCACCATAAGGGTGTGCGCGGTGTGCTGCTGCATGCGGAGAGCTTGCTGCTGCTGCTGCAGCAAAAAAGGGTGAGCTGGCAGCACAGGCACAGGATGCAGCAGCAGCCCCTGCGGACCCAAAATGGCCCCAGGCACAGGGACTCTGACGAAGCCGCCTGGGGCCTGGTGCAGCAGCCTGGCAGCTTGCTGCTGCTGCAGCAGCTGCTGCTGCTGCAGGTGCTGCTGCGAATGAAGCAGCTGCGAGTGCGCCTTCATGTGCTGCTGCGGCTGCTGTGGCTGCGCCGGTTGCTGCGCTGGTTGCTGCTGCTGCTGCTGCTGCTCGTGGTGCCGCAGAGAAGAAGGAGAATCGTCGTGAGCCTTTGCAGCAGTCTGCTGCTGGGCTGCAGGAGCAGCAGCTGATGCTGCCAGCGTAGCGCCTTGTCCCTGCTGCTGCTGCTGCACCGGCTGCTGCTGTAGCTGCTGCTGCTGCTGCTGCGGAGGCGGTGGGGGTGGCGGCGGCGGGGCAGGCACAACGGATGCTTCCTGCTGCTGCAGAACGCTTGCCACAGTCTGCTGCTGCTGCTGCTGCTGCTGCGCCGGCGGCTGCACTTTCTGCTGCTCTCCCGCTTGCTGCTGCTGCTGCTGCTGCTGCTGTTGCTGCTGCTCCCTGTTGAGCCGCGTGAGCCCCCCAGGAACTGAGGCCTCGAAGGCATCCACATGCTTGCTGGGGGCCCTGCTGCTGCCTTTGGCTCTGCTGCGGAAAGGGTCTGCTGCAGCACGGCTGCCCAAAAAACCCCCAGCAGCAAAAGGCAAACGGCCCCCACCCCCGGGGGCCCCAAAAGAGGGGCCCCCCCTTGCTGCTGGCAGCGGCTCTGTGGGCGGCGGCACCTCCACGGGAGCCTGTGCGCAGCAGCAGCAGCAGCAGCAGCAGCAGCAGCAGCAGCAGCAGCAAAGGGGCAAGAGGACGTAGAAACCTTTTAAAAGAAGCAAACCGAAACATGCGAGATGCTCCACGGAGCCAGCAGCAGCAGCAACAGCAGACCGTCAGGCCACGCAGCAGAAATAGCCGAGGGGCCGAAGAGACAAAAAGAGAGTAAAAAAAGAAAATAGAAGACAGAGATATTTGAAATGAAACAAAAAAGACAAAAAAGAGACAAAAATAGATTAGAAAGACACAAAAAAGATATTAGAAAGACAAAAAAGAGGCATTATTAAGACACTGGGAGGCCCAAGAGCCGCCGCAGCAGCCGCAGCAGCAGCCGCAGCAGCAGCCGCAGCAGCAGCGGCGGAAAGGCCGGAGACAACCGAACCACAGCAGCAGCAGAAAAGGACAGAAACAACCGAGTTGCAGCAGCAGCAGCAGTAGCAGCAGGAGCAGAGAAGAAATGAGACGGAAGAGAGAGCACCGCAGCAGCAGCAGCAGCAGCAGCAGCAGCAGCAGCAGCAAGCGCTCACAGCTCTTAGACGGGAGAAGGGATCGGACAGCCACAGGGGGAGGATCGTCTCCTCCGCCTCCTCCCCGATCCCATAAACGTAGTCAAGGGGAGCAGCAGCAGCAGCAGCAGCAGCGCAGCCGCGGGCCTCCTGCAGCAGCACAGAGGACGGCACAGCCACGCTCTCAAGCCACGGCAGCAGAAGCAGCAGCAGCTGCAGCAGCAGCTGCAGCAGCAGCAGCAGCTGGCAGTGTCATGCTGCGGCTGCTGCTGTTGCTGACACGGAGCAGGCACATGTCAGCGGCTAATTGCAGCAGCACAACAGCAACAACAAAGCGAAGAACAGCAGCAAAAGCACCAGCAAGAGCAGCAGCAACAGCAGCAACGGCAGCAACAGAAGCACCAACAGCACCGGCAAGAGCATCTCCACAAACGCCAGCAACAGCCGCAGCAAAAGCGGCAGCAACAGCCGCAGCAGCAGCAGCAGCAGCAGCAGCAGGAGTTCTTGCCTCGTTGAGCGTGTGCGCTGCTACGCGCAGCACCGCCTCCAAAGCAGCATCTTCTGTCCAGGGGAGACGATCCCGATCCCCAGGATTTGGAGTGCAGCGGGAGACAAGAGAAGCAACAGCATAGTTGCTGCGGCGAAGAGACACGAGAAAAGCAGCATCGAAGTGCTGCGCTGCTGCGCGCCGCTGCTGCTGCTGCTCTGCTGCAGCAAGCTGCGCCAAACGGCCCTCGGGGGAAAACGCCGCAGTCGGCAGCAGCTGCACACGCGCTCCAGCGCACGCAGCACACACACACGCCGTCAGCAGCAGCAGCAGCAGCAGCAGCAGCAGCAGCAAAGGCAGCAAGGCGAGAGAAGCAGCAGCAAGGTAAAAGCAGCAGCTGCAACGGGAAGACAGCTGCAACAGCAGAAGCCACGCGGCCTGCAGCAACCTCTGTGCTCTGTCTAGCCCCGACGTCTCAAACAGGGGCAGCAGCAGCAGTACGAGCAGCAGCAGCAGCAGCAGCAGCAGCGAGTGCAGCTCTCCCGGCGGTCGCAGCAGCAGCAGCAGCAGCAACAGCTGCAGCAGGCCACCTGCCTACCAGGGGAGCAGCCTCGACAGGAGCAGCAAATATCTCAATCTCCAAAGCCTTTGCTTCGCGGTGCGTCAGCAGAGCCAGCCGAGTTTGCTGCAGCAGCAAAGAGACACGGGAGCTTCCCCGCTGCTGCGTCGACAGCAGCAGCTCGCTCTGGGAGAGAAAAGCCAAAAGACACCGCTGCAGGTCCCGCAGCAGCAGCTTCCGGGGGTCTTCATCCACCTCGCACAGCATCTCTTCTGCTGCTGCAGCATCTGCTGCTGCTGCTGCTGCTGCTGCTGGAGGCGAAAGCAGCGACTCCGCACCCCCGCCCTTGCTGCTGCTGCTGCTGCTGCTGCTGCTCTCCACAGGGTCCTGCAGGTCCGCGTACAGCTCTGCTGCTTCGTCTATTGCGCCCACCTAAATAATACAACACAACACAGCAGCAGCAGCAGCAGCAGCAGCAGCAGCCGACTGGGCCTCTAAAAGACACTCAAAAGGACAAAAGGAGAGAAAGTAGCAGCAGCAAACCGCGCCAATTTGCTGCAGCTGCATGCACGGGCCCTAGACGGGTGACGCGTCTTACCAGGTTCTGGCTCGCCGCAAAGGGATCGCCTGTCTCCATTTGCTGCTGCTGCTGCTGCTGCTGCTGCTGAGGTACCTCTCTAACCTTCCACGGGATAGGGACTGGCTGCTGCAGCAGCAAAGCGAAAAGCGCATGCAGCGGATAGGGGTCTGCTGCTATGAGGTGTCTCGACAGCAGCAGCAGCTGCCGCGCAACAGCTAGCCAGCTTTGGCCCTCGGCCGCGGACTGCATCTGCAGCGCAGCACAGAAACGCAGCAGCAGCAGCAGCAGCAGCATCAGTGTAACAGCAGCAACAAAGGGTGCAGGGCAGCAGCAGGGGGACTCGTGGCCACAAGACGTTCAGCAGCAGCGCCATAAACAGAAGGCAGCAGCTGCAGCAGCAGAGGGTGCAGCAAGTGCAGCAGCAAAAAAACAGCAGCTGCAGCAGCAAAGGCTACGGCAGCAGCAGCAGCAGCGCGAACGGCCCACTTGTGCTGCTAAGGTCAGCTGCGAGGCGCAGCGCGCAGTGAGGGGCCCGAAGCAGCAAACTGCAGCAGGAGCAGCAACAAGAGCAGCAGCAGCTTCTGCTTCGTCTCCCTTAAGAGTGGCCAGCAGCGCGGAAACAGAGTGCTGCGGCAGGCTGTAAGACAGCAGCATGCAAAGAAAGGGTTTGCTGCAGCAGCAGCTAGCAGCAGCAACGCAGCTCAGGGCTATTTCCACTGGAGTGTCTGCTCTGTTTCCCAACGCAGACACAGCAGCAAAAAGCCGCCGGAAAACAGAAGCATAGTGCGGGAATCCCAAGCTCTTCTTCATCTTGCTGCTGCTGCTGCTGCTGCTGCTGCTGCTGCTGCTGGTGTCGAGGTTTGCCAGCAAGTTGCCGCTGCCGCCCGCGCCGCTGCTGCTGCCGCTGCTGCTGCTGTCGCTGCTGCTGCTGCTGCTGCCCTCGCGCTGCTGCACTGCAGCATCAGCCAGGGTCTGATACCCCAGGGCCATTTCAGTGGTGAGCCGCAGAGCCACCTGCAGCAGCTCGCGGGCTATTTCGCGCTGGAGCAGGCCGTCTGCTGCTGCAGCAGCCGCTGCTGCTGCTCCGCCTTCCGCAGCAGCAGCAGCAGCGCCAGCAGCCACCGCAGCAAGAGGCTCGTGCTGCAGCAGCTCAAGGCACACTTCTAGCAGCCGCCGGCAGGGCAGCGCGAGCACGCGCTCCAGCTGTCTGTACACTGCAGCAGCAGCAGCAAGATGCAGTTGCAGCAGCCGCTCAACAAACAGCAGCAGCCGCAGCAGCCGGCCTCCCTGCATTGCAAATACAGACTTGGGGGCGTGGGCGTAGGCCTGCAGCAAACCGCAGCAGCAGCAGCAGCAGCAGCAGCAGCAGCAGACGCAGCAGCACGGGCATTCACCACAGCGCGCAGCAGCAGCAATAAGACTTTCTAGAGAAGCAGCCAGTGAGCTAGTCGGGCACTCTGCTGGCTTTGCTGCTGCTGCTGCTTTTGTTATTTCTGCTGCTTTTGTTCCTTGTTGCGTTTGCTGCTGCTGCTGCTGCTTTGCTGCTGCTGCTGCTGCTTAGCTTTCCTTCCAGAACTCACCGGACGGTCCGGGCAGTTTGGAAGCTCCTGCGCAGCAGCAGCTGGGGGGTCTGAATCAGCAGCGGCTGCTGCTTCTGCTGCTGCAGCTGCTGCTGCTGTTTCTGCTGCTGCCGCACTTTCGTCCTCTTCCGCTGCAGCTGGCTGCGCAGGCGCGTTCGCAGGAGCGTCATCCGACTCTGCTGCATCCGCAGCTGCTGCTGCTGCTGCTGCGGGTGCTTCTGCTGCTGCTGCTGCTGCTGCTGCTGCTGCTGCTGCTTCCGCAGGCTGGCTGGAGCCCTCCAGGGCCCGCAGCGCAGCAGCAAGCAGGTAATCAAGACACTCGAAAATGAGGGAATAAACGGGAAGGCCCATCAGGGAAAGAGCAGCAGCAGCTTCTGCTGCTGCTCCCCGCAGCTGTGCTGCTGTTGAAAGAGAAGCTCTTGCAATTAAAGACAGCAGCTCCGCTATTTCCTCCATGCGCACAACCTCGGCAGACAGCTGGTGCTGCAGCAGACACACACACTAGCAGCAGCACATCCTCTGCTGCTGCTGCTGCTGCTGCTGCTGCTGTTGCTGCTGCTGTTGCTGCGTGCGCCGTCTACACGAAACGCTGGACGTTCCTCTGCTGCTGCTGCCGCTGCTGCCACGCTGCCGCAATGAAGGCGCTGAAAGTGGAAGACGCCATTTGCTGCAGCTGCTGCAGCTGCTGCAGCTGCTGCAGCTGCAGCAGCAGTTGCAGCTGCTGCAGCTGCTGCAGCTGCAGCAGCAGTTGCAGGACGTACCATTCGCAGGGCCAGAAGGGGCGCAAGTGCTTCCCCGCTGCTGCTTGCTGCTGCTGGCTGCTTTTCCCCTGCCGCTGCTGCTTCTGCTGCAGCGAGCTGCTGCAGCAGCTGGGCTGCCAAGGCACTCTGCACCTGCCGCCAAACCCGCAGCACATCTCCTGCTGCTTCATCTCCTCCCTCTTCTGCTGCTGCATCTGCAACAACAGTTTCTGAAGGGCCCATGGAGAGGTGGCCTGTGGCCAGCCCCAGGAGGCTGTTCTCTGCTGCTGCTGCTGCTGCTGCTCCTGCTGCTGCTGCTGATATCCGCAGCCGGCACAGCAGGAACAGAGGCATCGGCTCTTCAGGCAACGAGTCCTCGCCTTCCTGAGGAGCCGTCCGCAGCACAGCAGCAACAGCAATTGCAGCAGCAGGTACGCCACAGGGCAGCAGCAGCAACAGCAGCAACAGCAGCAGCAGCCGCAGCAACTGCTGCTGCTCACGAGTGCCAGGTGCTGCGGCGTGTAGGGAGCCCGAAGCGTCTCCATAAGGGACGGCAGTTTGGTTGACAGTGTAACAACGTGCGTCTCTGCAGCAGCGGAGGAGCTGCTGCTGCTGCTGCTGCTGCTGCTGCTGCTGCCGGGCGCAGCAGCAGGGTCCGCACCAAGTGCTGCCAGCAACGAAGACACTGCTCGCGGAGGACACACTGAAGGCCTCGTGGCAGAAGGGACAATGTGGAAAGAAAAGGGTACAGTTGGCAGCACAGCTCCGGGGGCCCAGGGGCCCATTGCCTGCAGCAGCAGCAGCCCCGCCTGCTGCAGCTGCGGCAGCAGCACGCTGCACTGCAGCAGCTGCCGCAGCACGTACGCCTGAGAGTCTTTCAGCTGTACGAACACCTGCCGCTGCACCCGGCAAACCCACGACAAGCAGCTCCGCAGCTGCAGCACGGCCTGAGCAGCAACACCAGCAGCAGCAGCAGCAGCAGCAGCAGCAGCAGCAGCAGCTCGTCTAAGCTCACGGTTCAGGCAGCACAGATTAACTGCTGCCCGCAGATCTTGTTCAGCTGTTGCTGCTGCTTCGCCATCATACCAGCAAGATGCGCTCGCGCTGCCACAGCAGCAGCAGCACGTGCAGCAGCGGCAAGCCCAAACAGCAGCAGCACCAACCCAAGAAGGGGCAGCAGCGCACAAGAAGCAGCTGCTGCAGGAGCTGCGGCAGCAGCAGCAGCAGCAGCAGCAGCACCGAAGCGCCCACCTCCTGCCTGAACCCCTCGAGGGTTTTAAGCCACTGCACAGCTTCATGGCGCTGCTGTGCTTGTTGCAGCTGCTGCTTCAGCTTGCCGCTGCTGCTGCTGCTGCTGCTGCTGCTGCAGCCGATCCACTGGCCCGCGGCCAGCAGCGCAGCAGCCGCCAGCAGCAGCACGTGCTGCAGCTGCGACCGCCTGAGGCCCACCCAAAGAAGGCCCTGGGAGTCCTTCAGTGCTGCTTCTGCTGCTGCCAAATCTTCCACAAGAGAAGGGGCTAAAGAATAAACAGCAGCAAACAGCAGCTGCAGCAGCAGCTCCAGGGTGGGCAGGCAGCAGTCCCGCGCAGCCACCCACAGAGCCAGCAGCTTGGCCATCGCCGGCGACCCGCCGCCGCCAGCAGCAGCAGCAGCAGCAGCAGCAGCAGCAGCAGCAGCACTCTCCGCAAGCCACTCAGCAGGAGGAGAAAGACAAGACACGCAGCGAACAACAGCAGACAACACTGCGCCGAGGCCCTCTGGGGATACGCCCACGCTGAAGCCAATCCCCGCCACCACCGGCACGCTGCTGCTGCTGCTGCTGCTGCTGCTGCTGCTGCTGTAGGGGGGGGCGCTGCTGCCGTTGAGCGCCGCTGCTGACGGGTCTTGCTGCTGCTGCAGCAGCTGCCGCTCCCACGGCAGCAAGCCGTCCTCGTCTACTGCCTCCTCGGGGTGCTCCTCTCCCTCGTCGGCCAGTGCTGCTGCTGCTGCTGCTGCTGCTGCGCTCGGTGCTGCTGCTGCAGTCGTTGTTAGCTCCCACTGCTCCTCCGTGAGGTCGTCCCCAGCCAGCAGCAGCTGCGGGCAGCGCCGCAGCAGCAGCAGCAGCAGACGCGCAGCAACTTTTGCTGCTGCCATCTCCTCTGTTGACGGCGGCAGCCGCCAAGAAGACCCCGGAAGACAGGTAAGGTCGTTCAGCCCCGGATTGCTGCTGCTGCTGCTGCTGCTGCTGTTGCTGCTGCTGCTGCTGCTGGGCTTTGGAACGTCTCCCCAATCAATTTCCGGCAGCTGAACTCCCAGTGAGTCTGCGGCTCCTGCTAAGAGGGTGGCGTTGCTGCTGCTGCTGTCTGCTGCTGGGTCTGCATCGGCTGCTGCTGCTGCTGCTGCTGCTGCATCTTCGGAAGCAGCAGAACCGTCAGGGGCCTCTGCTGCTCTCAAACCCCCCCGCAGCCCGCAAGGGGCGCTGCTGATGCGAAGGGCCCCCAGAAGACAGGGTACAGTTGGGGGCCCCAGCAAAGGCTGCAGCGGGAGGTAGTGGGGGGCCCCCATCAGCAGCACGGCCACTTCAGCAGCAGACGGCAGCTGCTGCTGCTGCTGCTGCTGCTGCTGCTGCTGCTGCTGCGGCTGCGGGGGTGAGTTCTTGCCCTCGCCCCCAAATACCTGCTGCAACGCGCTGTGCAGCAGCAGCACCCGCCGCGCCAGCAACGGGTCCCCCTGCAGCAGCTGTACATACACCGCAGCAGCAGCAGCAGCAGCAGCCGCATAGGACCTCGTGAAGGGAAGCAAAGCCCGCAACAGCAAAGCGGCAGCAGCAGCAGCTGCTGCAACAGCAGCAGCAGCAACTGCAACAGCTGCAGCAGCAGCAGCTGCAGCAGCAGCAGCGCACCGTTGTGAATGTCGTCTCCTGCCCTGCAGCTGTCCACGTGGGAGACGCAAGAAGCAGTGTGTCTGCAGCAGCAGCAGCAGCAGCTGCTGCTGCTGCTGCCGCCGCAGACGCTGGCTGCTCGGCGGCGCCAGAAGCAGCAGCAGCAGCAGCAGCAGCAGGGGACTCCCCTGCTGCAGT